ATAATGGTAACATCAAGAACAGAACAGAACAGAATGTACATTCGACAAACCGCAGTAAACGCCGCAACTCATGCTGTCGAGAAAATAAATTGAAAACCGCTTACGAAAATAAAGGTGAAACATGGGAGCTGAGTTGGAATTTAACATCCTACTAAATCGCCTCGATTTTATAAAAATTGTAGACTAAATTAATTTTTCGTAAGAAAATGTATTTAATATGATGGACCAAATTTGGTTCAGTATGTGTAAACGTGTGGTTGATCAGACATTAGTCAGGCATATTGATATGGATATAGGAAAGCCACGTCGCTACCATGCATTGCAGATTTTTAATTGATCTTTCATATTAAAATATTAGTAAAGTTGATACAAGAAAAAACAGAAAGAATTTTTCAAATGAGAGATTATCTATTATGTAACGAGAAATTCATTTCATATGTTAGTAAAGTTGAAAAAAAAAAGAAAAAGAACATAAAGAATTTCTCAAATGAGAGATTATCTATGAGTCATTTATATAGATAGACACTTTTTACACTTTTGTTTACGATTTAGACATTTTTTGCTATTGACATACTTAAGTTTATATTTTGTATCTTTAATTTTTTTTGTTGCCCTCTTTCTTTATTGTTAAGTTTTTTTTTTTTTTAACTACGATTGATATTTAAAAAAAATGGTGGTGATAGTGAAAAACTCCAAAATTAAAAAAAAAACTGTAACATATAATTGGAAATTATGCTGTATTTAGCGAATTCTGTTATAGATCTAGAACCTGGACAGTTGAATTTGGAGCTTATAAGTTGATGTTGAGATAGATCTGAAACCTAGGCAGCTGGATCTGGAGCTCATAGGTTGATGTTGCGATCGGCGTTCGATTCCAAAACCGAAGTCAACTGGGTTACTTGCTCCGAGATATTGTGGCAGATGACAATCCATTGGCGGTTAGTTTTTGGCGTTTGTGTCGATTAACAGGGATAGGATTTTTTTGGTGTGATCATTATTGGTGATGTTTATCTTAACGAAGAAGATAAAATACATTTTCATCCATACAATTGTATCCATGTTGCGGCATCTATATAGATGCATCCATACTGCTGTATCATAGAATCAGTAGATGTGAAATTATCATCTATACAACTGTATCCATGTCGCTGCATCCATACTGCTGTATCGCAGGATTAGTAGGTGGTTTTACTGTATTATCCAATCCCCATGATTTTAAAGAAACTTGTGCCAACATTACAAACCAAGCAAAACAATAGGGGAGGAGCTTCAGTCATGTTAATTTCGAACTATCTAGTACAAAGACATAACACAATCAAATTTACTAAATTTTGTAATTGCTAATAACCTTGTAATCACATATGAGTTTTCTTTGTTCATCATCCAAACTTTCCACAATGAAATGGACACGCAATTTATTTTGTTGGCTAACCATACATGAACGGTATGGACATAATTCATGGATACAAATCTATGGACATGATCGGAAATGTAAATAAACATACGATTACCAATATTATGTATACATGTCTGACTTTGTGGACAAGAGCATTATGGACACAAAAACAAAGACGCAATGTATGGACATAAAATAGCGTGGAGTCAAAATGGCATGGCCACATACTTATGGTTACAAACACATGGACTTACTCTTGTGGATGTAAGGCATGGAAGAAGAAGAAGAAGAAGAAATTCCCCAACTGTTTTGGTAGAGATCGTCTTCTCTTTGAATTTCCAAGATCCGACTAAGGTTTAAACAACAAAAGTTACAAACGATAAGGATCAGATTAATAAGCAAGAACATATAATTAAAAAAATTTGATGGATAAAGTGTAAAGGACAAAGTAGTATGGACAAAGTGTGATGGATAAAGTGTGATGGACACTGTGTGATGGACAAAGAAGAGAACTGTAGACAAATTATTGTCGAGAAAGAACGGTAGGCAAGTGCGATGGACACAGAACTGTGGAACAAAAAACGATGGACAAAAACGAAATATAGGCAAGAAACTATGGACAACAGAACTACGAACAAAATAACTATGAATCCTATTGAGTAAAGTCTTATACACATTAAAACATTTTATTCATGTATAATCAAAATCAATGATGGATACAAAAATGTGGACATGATCCGAAGTATGAATAGATATACAATTACCAATATCATGTATCCATGTCTGACATCGTGGACAAGAGCGTTATGGACACAAATACAAGGATGCAATGCATGGACACAAACTATGGATATGAAATCCATGGATAAAACGCATGGAAGAAAAACGAATTGGATTAGATTTTAGATTAGAATTGAGTAACGAAGAGATACAAAAAGAATTCAATCAAACGCAATAATATTAGTTAAAATATCACAAGTTGTATACCGTTCATATCAAGACACAAGACAAGTACATGAATACTCTTTTAGCTGTTATTACATTTAGAATCATATTAAGACACTCAATTTATACCATTCAACCACAATGCAATTCACAAACAAGAACGAGTAGTTATGTAGCAACAACAAGCTTCTTCTATAGGAACCGATATATATGTGTGATTGAGAAGAAAGGTGGCTCGTACCTCGTTTTAATACAGATTCGAGCCACGGCTAGAACTTTCTGGAGTTCTCTTGAGTTATAGTTGTTTCTGAGATCTGGATCAATCATTTTATCAATGGAATTTGCAATGCTAGAGTGTTGTACCCATTCAATCAAGTTTTCGCCTTGTCTGCCTGATGATTGTCATGTGATCAGCTCTAACATTAAAACTCCTAGCAGCAATATCACGTTTCCACATTCATCATCCGCACATGATCCTACACGTCTGTTCTTAAAACCTTGAGTAAAAAAAAGAAAAACATTTGATATTTCTAATTTGGATCCTTATTTACGTCATAATTTATGTGGATAAAGAGCCATGGACAGAGAGCTGTGGACAGAGAGTTATGGACAGAGAGCCATGGACAAAGAGAGACGTGTGTAAACACATGAAAAGAGATATAGAACTCACGTTAAGTGTTGCTAAAGGTGTGAAAAATAAAGTTTTATGTTGCTCTTCATCCAACCAATCAGCCAAGTGATTACCAGAGACTCCGTGTTCTTTTCTTCTTTTCCTCCAAATTGATAGTTCATAACCTTAATTTGCAAAGAGAGCTGTGGACAGAGGACCATGGACAAAAAACGTGGAACGACAATGGTGGTGACAGAGAATTATTTGGTTCTTACTTTTCATGTCAGTGGCGGAACGTCAGCATTGCTCCGATTGGATCTGTGGTCTACTAAGAATTTCCAGCGATTGAAGATTACAAGGACTTCCAATTGCAATTACTTGAGATAGTCTCCGTCAGATTAGTATCGAGACTTTGCATGTTGTCGGTGAACAAATTAAGGCTTGACGGTGGCAGCAGGACAAAACCAGATCGGTTATCAAAGTGGTTGCTGTTGATGGGAACCTGTGTGAGCGATAAGACGATTTCTTCTTGAAGGATTTAGCGACAACAAATCTTGATTTAACAAGTTGATATGCAGCGGCGGTGTTTGGTTTTGGTCGATGTTTGTGTTAGTTGGTGTTTGATTTAACAAGTTCTAATTTATGTTTTTACAGAATAGAAGTTAACTTTTCTTTTTAAATTTTTTACAATTTTTATGTTAGTTGACTGAAAGTTAGAAGTGTCTTTTTACATAGAGAAAGTGTATGATAAGTTGAAAGTGTGTTAATATGTAAATATAAAGTGGAAAAGTGTGTGTGAATGTAAAATTCTCATTATCTATTATGTAATGAGAGATTCATCTCATGTAATATTTATATTTCATTGATTTAAATTTAAATTATTAATTAAAATTAAATAATAAAATTTAATAATATTTGAAAATATTATTATAAAATTGATGAAAGATTCTTGTTGAGAGACTATACGCTTTAGACCAAATCTAATAAAGACTTTTAGATGTCTAAACAAATATTTTTAATAATAAAACTGAATAAAAAAGAGTTTATGGTGTTTTATATTTTAGATCAGTGTCTAAATTAAGAACGCATATATCGCAAGTTAGGAGTGGACGATAGAAAATTCTAATTTCTGAATTGCACTTCTATAATTTATATATTTTCATGTATTGCATTTTAAAAAATATATTATGTTTTAAAAATTGTTAACAAAAGTTTTTACTTAAATTTATTAATATATATATATATATATATTATTTTTAAGACACCTATCAAAAATATCTCTATTATATAATCTAAAAACAACAAAATACTATAAAATATCTTATATACATAAAATACACAAAATATTAATATATAATCAATAAAATCCACACTAATAGTGTCTCTATTGAGCTTGCTCTAAAAAGTTAAGACCACTTATTTTCTTCATTTCTGCATGTTTCTTTCTCTTTTTTAATCTTTTTTTTTTAATTTCCATTTCTAGTTGATTTCGGACGTTTTTTTAACACTTTGTTTTATTAATCTTCGTTTTGAATTATTACAATATAGAAGAGATCTGACAAATAAAATACAGAAAGAAACTAATGATTTTTCCTAACATATTAATAAAAAGAGGTTTTCTTAATGATACATTGGTGATATTAAAACAATCTTGTTCTAAAACTTGAAAATGTCAATAAAAATGTCAATAAAAATTATTCCCGTACCCACAATAGTTGACGGGCTTTTTTTGATTGCAGACGTTTATTACTTTTGAAAGCATTAGAAAAAGAAAGATAGAATATCATAAAATAGTGTAAAACTATAAATCCAATATGGTGAATATTTTATAAAAAAAATGTAAATACTTATTTTTTAATTTAAAATGTTTTTCAGTCTTTTTTTTAAGTATTGCTTTTTATTAACAACAAAACTCCAAACAATATATTTCTTTTTTTCATCTTCTTCTCTAGAAGAAAGTACACCAAAACTTTCACACACAGTCACACACATAGATGAATATGCATCTCACGCATTAACTACTTAGATATCAAGGGGCAGAAGATATCTCTATTGCTGAGACAAGAGGTACTGGTCCACCTCTTTAGTCATTTCAACAAAGAACTGGAGCTGCGTCTCTAGTTGAGCCACCTTCTCATCATCAATCCTCTCGTACTTCACGTTCCATTTCACCACACTTCCAGGCCCTCCTTGCTTAGGACACACCGTCATCGTTTTCAAGAAGCTCTTGAACACTTTCTTCAGATGTCCCTCCAACACCCTCCACTGGATCACATTCTTCTCCGAATCCAACGTCTCGATTTTATCTTTGGACACTCTTGGCTCTCCATCTGCATCATAACGCGTTTACAAGTCACATTATTATATTTCAAGAAAAATGAAATATAAGTAAAACTGAATGTTCATTAGGTGGTTTTCTAATTAGTTAGTGTTCTTTTTTCAATCAGATTTGTATTTTATATCTATAGATGTGTTTTTTTTAATCATTACCAAAAATTAATTTCCAAATGACTATGCTTCCAGCTTTTTCCCACTCCCCCTCGAGCACATCACATCCCTGGATAAAACGAGTAGCTTTGGAGACATGTTGTGATCTTGCGAACATGTGGAACTTATCAGCCGGACTTTGGATCTCCACATCTACTTCAACCTCCTCCTCTACCATCTCACTGCTTTGTTTCTCGACGTCACAAGAAGATGGAGTTTGATGCAATTGCAAATTGCAATGAGAATGAGTGATTCCCTTTCGAGTTCCTACCTTCTTTTATAGAGAGAGGATGGAATAAATAATTAATATAAATGAGTGGCTAACTTAAACGGTTCACTTATTTTGAAAGATATTTTATTAGGTTCATCCTATTTTCATTTAAAAAGATAATAAAAAAAATGTTTTCCAGATCACATGTCATAATAAATTCGATAGCTACGTAGCGCTAAACACCAAAAGTGAAGAACCTAACTTTCTTTTTGGCCAAACAAGAAAACCTAACTTAAACTCACAATACAAACCAACTATGGGTGGAATCTTTCATGTATAATTAATTTTTTTAAGTTGGAATCTTGTGATATTAATAGAAATTACTAAATAACACGAGGAATAATGAATAAATTAAGTTCAAAAAATAATAATAATAATGAATAATTTATGAATTGAGGAAAACATTTAGTAAGATAAAGTGAGAGTGACAATATTTCTCAACTTATTTGAGAAGAAATGTTTTCTTTTTTTTTTTGGTCCAAAGAAGAAATGTTTTCCTAACTAAATTTTTTTCTTCAGAAAAAGAAAAAGGTTCGTGGAACTTACCTTAATTAGCTTAAGGGATATAATTCCATATAAATTGATCATAATTTTCGTAATAAAGAATTTATTTTCTCTAGTTATTAATAAACACGACATGAACAAGAGAAAAGCTTCATAGGAACACAAAAGTTACATTACATATTGCAACTTACAGCTTAACACGTACGTAACATAAACTCTGCAATACCATGTACGACATGCTTGCAGAATCACATCTCCTCAAATCTTAGAGAGAGCACATTATTGAGACAGATATACAAAACACCCACACACATAGATAGGTAAAAATAGATGGATAGATGGATATTCCAAAGAGTCTTCTAGACTTTGGAGCAAAGCATTTCGTCCATGTCTTTGGATCCTTTGACAAACAGCTCGAGAATAGTCTCCGGGTGAGCCACCTTCTCATCAATCTTCTCATACTTTATGTGACACTTAACCACACTCCCAGGTCCTCTTTGCTTCGGGGTCGCCTGGATAGTGATCAAGAAGCTCTTGAACTCTTTCATCAAATCTCCCTCAATTACCCTAGCCACCATCAGATTCTTCTCCGAGTCCAGTGCTTCGATCCTCTCCTTCATCACCTTTGGCTGTCCATCTGCAAGCAAAACAAAGGGTTTAACATTCAAATTTATGTTTTTGCACAATTATATATAAAAATAAATGTCTGGACTTAATTATACCAATGACATAGTTCCAGAAGATGACATTGCCAACTTTGCCACACTCTCCCTCGAGCTGTTTACATCCCTGGATGTTGTTAGGAGTGGCTCTCGGAACATCTTGTGGGCTTCCAACTAGCAAGTTGTGGTACTGCTTGGCCGAAGCTCTGATCTCAACTTCTATCTCAAGCTCTCCTTGTAGAGAAGACTGCCGCATAGCCTGTGCCATTTTTTTAAATAAGGATGTGTTGCTTCTCTAAGAGTTAATGAGAGTGAGTGAGTCTCTTCAGAATTCATAGCCCCATTTATAGAGAAAGGAATGAGCAGTTGTGACTAGGCAGATAAATTGTAGTTGTTTAATTATGTTTATTTTGTGGTGACCACATTATTCCCTCAATTTTATTAGTTTTCATAAATATATTTGAATAATGTTACTCAATTTGTTATCTAGGGCCTAGGGGTTTTCTTTTACTTTTATCTTGACCTTGAACATATCATGCTTAGTGTTTTTTATTCGAACATCAATTTAAAATTATAATTAAACACCAAGAAAAAATTGCAAACAGAAGAATAACTGTACGTTTACAATTTTTTAAAAATATATATTTTAGATAACATGATTAAAATTATTGAGTTTTTATAACGAGATCAAAATTGCAAGAGTTTTTTATAAAACAAGAGAGTAGCGGAATGTTGGAATATATATGGTCCCTTAGGCGAGGGAAGGAATCAGGCCAAGTAGCTGATAGCAAAAATAAGATTCTTGTATCAATAATTGAAAAAATCGATTCAACGATGTGTCTCTGCACGAAATGCATGCTTCAGGATTGATATAGGCTGCTGCTATTATCGAACATTTTCGCCATAGACAAGAGTAGATCCATTTATAGATCAATATCATGATTTACTGATGATTTAAGACGATGTAGTTTGTCTTGAGGCCGTGCGTGTAGAGTTTGCAATAATGGCCTCATTGTATGTTTAAACTTATCTTATTTTTCCCATTCCTATATCATAATTCATAACAAAACTATATCGATTTTTGAACAATGTAACTGTTATTATCTAATAATTATAAGAAAATATATTTGAGGATCAGTAATTCCACTATTAATATTAGTGGAAAACAATAAAAATGACCAAAGATTTAGTTTGGAAACTTTTACAAGTAAAACATGAGAGTACAAACTTTATAGCTGAACGAGACCACAGGAATAATAAGAAAATTCTACTACAATTGGGAAATATAAGAAAGAGAGGAATAATGTCAGATAAGATTTAAATTTGCGAATTATATATTTTGGCCAAATAGAATTAAAAAAAAAAGGCATCATTCTTCTTATCCATTTCTCTTTTTAGAAAAATTCGGTGGAATTCATGGAACTTATTTTTGGATGGAGACTGGAGGAATGTAAAGTCCATATAATTGATTCATCAATAATATACATATATTATATTTTATATATAATTAGAGAAACATGATAAGAAGAAAAAAAGAATGTAGAACATTATCCAATAAATAGTCATGTTGTGATTAAATGATAAGAAACCTTGAACAAGTGAAATAAAAACAAGTTCAGATCGAAAGGAGTATTCATCTCTTGGTTTACAAACTGGAAATCTAGCTTAACCGAATGTAAAAAAAAAAAAAAAAAAAGTTTCATAGAAATGACTTCGTTTTTTATTTATTTTTGTGATTTATTGATGTCTTTGCATAACAAGATATTTATTTATTTAATAAGGCAACTCGGAGAGATTGATGAGATGTTCATGGTTCAGACAACAACCTAGTCTCGAGGTCGCGCGTGTAATCTGCAACGAAGGCAGAGTATTTGGTAGGGGGACGAACGTCGTCGTTTAGCTTCTCGTATTCCCATATCCAATTGGCAATACAAACTCGATCACCTTGAGGAATAACGTGGAGTGTTATCTTATAGCGCTTGTACAGCTTCAACAAGTCACCTTCAAGAGCTAAGAAAGACACCGACCTGTTCTCTTCATTTACCTCTATCTTCTCCTTGATCTGCTCCATCTTCCCATCTATTAAACAAATCCAAACGTAACCGATGGAATTCAAGAACTTGATAGATAAAGACGAGAAAAGCCTTTTTTAAAATCAAGAATCTGAGAAATAAAAAAAGACAATTAATTATATAATTTTACATACCCACGACGAAATTCCAGATCTGAATCGAGGAGTTGGATTTGGGATCGTCACGATGAACCGAAACTGCCTCTGTCTTGTCTGTGAAATTGCCTTCTTTCTTCTTGAAAGTGTCGAAGAATCTATCGGCCGTCATGTTCACTTTGATCTCCAGTTCGAGAGTCTGGACGCCCTCCATGCCTCCACAATTCTCTGGTCTCTCTCGCTACGACTCTTTTGTTATCATATTTTTCTTAATTTACCATAAGAGAAGTGACTTCTTACGTCAGCTTCTTTGATAAGCAGCACACGTGGTGTTGACTTTGAAAGGCCTTGTCGGTTTTTTGGCTCGACCTTTTCCCGAACACTAGACCAATATAATAATATATACGAGTATATATGTATATGAAGCTACAAAAATATAGTTTTATATATTCAAAATACATCCAATAAAATTCAAACAATGTTATGATATAGAAAGAGTGTAAGCTTTATCTAATCAACATTTTACAAGTTGATCTGGACTACTGCTTTCATAAGTTCTAAACTAAATATGATCATATAAACTTTAATACCAACGCATATATATTGAACAAAAATCTTATATTATTTCACTATTGACGTTAACGTTTAAGAAACAAATAGACAGAAATAATTTTGATGATTGACTTTCGAAGATTAGGAGTTCCAACCAGTGAAGTTAATCGTGATTATTTGAAGATTTACCACTAAGATAATCAATTCTAACATTTGTACTTTGATCTCATTTTTTTGGAAACATAAGGGCGAGGCCGCAAGGCCAGGGGTCGGGGAAACTTGTGATCAGGAACGAAGAGGGGGGTTGATTGTCACAGCCGTGTTAACTCTAATAGTTGATAGAAACAAAAAAACAAAAAATGCCTTTAATTATAAAAAATATCTTATAATAATAAATATAATTATTATATATAAAAACAAAAAAAAATAAACTAAAATGTAGTTATAAAACTAAATTTTTTTCTTTTTTTATTGATTAATTTTTAAAAAATCATCCACTAATTATTTAAAAAAATAATAAAATAATTGAAAAAATGAAAAAGATAATATTTTAATTTTAATTATAACTGACTGTTGAAAAAAATATTAAAAAGTACTTTATACTAATAAACTTTATTTTTCAATGTTAAATCAGCACAAGTAGAAAAAAATGAAAGAAAGAAATTACATAGTCTAATTTGTTTTTCTTAATTACTCTAATTCTAAATTCTTTGATAACAGATTGATATCAATTTGACTTATTGTTGTTAACTTTTATTTTGTAAATTCATATCCATATTTGTATATTCATATCCAGATTAATACAATAGTAAATTATAACTAATACAAGTAAAAGTATTTTTTTTTAAAAAAAAATTTGCTGTCCTATAATTACCTTTTTTTTTTTTGCTGCCCTACACCAATGTTTCAAAAATTCTCCCATATAGGCACGCCCCTGTTGATTGTTATTAAACATCTTACGAATGTTTAGTTTTAACAAGAAGCTGGATAAATATGAAAAGGCTTTTGTTTTGTTTTCGTCATTTACAACTCACAGGCCCACTATCCGGTTTTATCCGACGACATACAAACCCATATTATACATAATATATCATCGTTTATAACATATACACACGCAAACATCTTGTCTAAATCCAGAGATAGAGCACAAATAGTTAGACAAACATGGAAAAAACATATAAAATATACTGGAATAAATGATCTATTCCTCGGACATGAGGTGTTCGTCGATCTCTTTGATCATCTCGACAAAAAATGGAAGCAGAGTCTCAGGGTGAACCACGTTCTCATCGGTCTTCTCGTAATCAAAGTGCAACTTCACAACACTTCCAGGCCTCCCTTGCACAGGAGTCACCTGGATTGTCATCAAGAGGCTCTTGAAATCTTCCATTAGATCTCCCTCTATGACCCTAAACTTTACCAGTTTCTTCTCCGGCTCAACTGCTTCGATCCTCTCCTTAGCCACCTTTGCTTTCCCATCTACGTCAGAGACGAATTATTTTACCAAGTAAACATATATTAGACATACATTCATATAATTCTAAAATGTTTTGTCTTGGTATAATACCATGAACGTAGTTCCAGACGATGACACTGTCAAGTGTGCCCCAATCTCCGTCGTGCAGATCACATGCCTGAACGTTTCGAGGAGTGGCTTCGGCGACATGGTGTGATTTTCCGGTGTACATCTCGTAGAACTTCTCTGCCGGAGCTTTGATCTCAACTTCTACCTCAACCTCTCCTACTAGAGAAGATTCTGGCATCTCCCCGGATATATCAGTGGGATAAGATTTATTTAAAAAACAATTACAAAATCTAGCAATGTTTTGTAATAGATGGTTTGAACTATTAAATCCAAAATCTTTTATACAGTTTTTACCAATTGTTTAACTGTAGTAAAACAATCTTCATCCATAGTCTTTCTCTTTCATATGAGTCACTCAATAACAGATATTCCATGCAGTGAATAGGAATAGTAACATGTATTTGTTGGATAAATTTCTGTTCTGACTTTAGAAAAAAAAAATAGGGATATAAATAATTAAACGAAGTTGATGAATTTGTATTATATGATCCGGTCAGGTATTTTGATTGGCTTAGTCCAGCGAATTTTCCGAAAATATATATACAGCAAATGTCAGCGAGTAGACTGTTCATCCATACGTCACATTTAGTTTTATAATAATCAAGGGTTGTTATTATTTTTTTATATTTATGCTTTTCTCAATATATGTCTACCAAGAATCAGTCTTTTATTTTATAAACAAATAATCAGTATTGGCTACAGAAAGAGCAACTCTTTGTAAGCCTTGAAGAAATAGTACAATTGAAACACACACAAAAAAAAAAAAAAAATAGCGTAGAAATCGGATAACACGAGAGGAAAAGTGGGTTTTTGTGACACTTAGCTAAAGGTGTGTCTTTAAGAGGAAACTCGGGTTTTGGTGACACCTTCGCTGAAGGTTGCTTTGAGAAGAAACAATTTAGAAAAAGTCGTTTCGAGTTCAAGGTAAAGATCTGCATGGTAAGGTCAAAATTGCAAACGGATATCCCTTGTATTTTTTTGGTTAAATAAATCGAGAAATTATGGGCAGAAACGCATGTCTCTCCCCGTTGGGAGAATTAAAAATATCTCTCTCAAGTCCGAAATGAAAATCGAATTAGGAGACTCAAAAATGCAGAATCTTTCTTTTCTCTCGTTTTCCCTTTTTTTTTTCTCTTGCATGATTCTCGTCCTTGTGTATTTAATATTATAGCAAAAAAAATAGAGACGAACAATAATGATTTTATTATCAAATTAAAAATCACAGCATACACTTCATTTTTGCGACTTAATTACGACATGAAACATATCATAACATAAACTAGATCATTACTATTTTTAACACTTAAACTTGCAAAGACATCCAGGCTCGTCTTAATTAATCTAAAGAGAGAGCACACACACGCACTTATTGAGAAAAACATGAAAATCATGTATAAAATACACAAACAAACAAAATTATTATTCCGATCCTCCTCTATTCCTCGGCCAAGAGGTGTTCATCGATATCTTTGATCATCTCGGCAAAGAACGGGAGCAAAGTCTCAGGGTGAGACACGCTCTCATCAATCTTCTCGTACTCGAAGTGCCACTTCACAATACTTCCATTACCTCCTTGCTTTGGGGTAACCTGGATCGTAATCAAAAAGCTCTGGAACTCTTCCATTATATCTCCTTCTAAAACCCTAAACTTCACGAGTTTCTTCTCCGGCTCCACTACTTCGATCCTCTCTTTCGCCACCTTTGCCTGTCCATCTACACCCAAAAGGAACCTGCTACCATCAAAATATTCGATCTTCTTGCACAATTACAAATATCAATGATATCATATGATATAAATGACTCTAGGATAAATACCATGAACGTAGTTCCAGAAGATGATACTACCAACTGTGCCCCACTCTCCATCGTGTAGATCACATGCCTGCACGTTCCGAGGAGTGGCTTTGGCCACATGGTGTGGCCGTCCGGCGTACATGTGGTAGAACTTTGCCGCCGGAGCTTTGATCTCAACTTCAACCTCAAGTTCTCCACATAGAGAAGACTCTCGCTTCGCCTGTGCCATATTTTTATTTACTGGCTGCTTTAATTTGCTTTATTTTTTTTCAACGAAAGTGCTTTGGTAGACTTTGAAGTGCTTAAAATGTGTCTGAACCCTTTATATAGTGGAAGGATTGATCAGGAGGATTTGTTTGACGGATCAGATAAATGATAGAATGGTTAAATTTTGTTTTTCTTGTGATGTCTTTATCATGGATTGGAGGGGTTACGTGTATTTGTGATATATTTGGGCTTTGGATTTTTAAATATTTTAATTATAAGAGACTGATTGGTTTTTTATTTTATTAAACATAAATATAGCAGCACTCAGCAAGTACTAATAGCCATGGATACGATTCATTAATTTTTTTTTAAAATACTATCAGGGGGGTTGTTGATATTTTCAACAAGGAACATTGAATTATTTTAACTTTCAACGGTTACAAATATAATTGGAAGATGTCAGTATATCATATAAAATCTACTTGGAAACAATGGCGATCATTAATTATGTATAAAGCTGCAGGAATCAAGGCATCATGCATAGAGATAAGAAGTTGGGTGATGAGAGTTGTCGAATTCTGGAATAAGATCTCATGGGTATGGAGAAAAAAGTAAGCCAACTTGTGGGCAAGAAGCAAGAACTTTTGAAATTCTTGTTATCTTAAACTGAGAGAATCGGTCCATTACCGACCTTTTCTTTATACCAAAGATAAGAGTAGAACAATTTAAGAATCTTTGATCTATTCAAAGATCAGTACAAATTCATAATGATTGCTCTTAATTAAGACGCAATAAACTCGAATGTTCATTTTAATATTGTACTAATCATATAAATGAATATTAAAATATCCATCAATGTTATACAGATTGCAGGCAACATAGTCCATTCATGGATATGTTATACTAAAAATGAATATAATACATAGACAGACGCCATATTAACTCATTGTCAATTTATTTGAATTAAAAGCCAAAATTGATAAATATGTAAAAAAAAAAGGTCAAAAACGACTAACAAAGACAAACCCAAATCAAAATTCAAGAAGGACATCAGTTCATAAGAAATGCATTTACCACACAAGCTCCAGTTAGTCTCTCATACGTTGGGCTGGCCCATATTTAGCCCATATCTATAAGCCATGCATGAACGCGAGATACGTTCTGGGTTTCGGATCAAACCGGTCTCTGAACCGGAAAACCCGGGGCGGGTAACTGAAATAAGAATATTGATGATGAGAATATGCCATGTGAGTAAGAGAGTTAAGGAAGAAGATTCGTGAGTCATTCGCATCTCTCTGGCTCTGATTCTCTCTGCTTCTACTTGATCCTACTTTATATTTACAGTTATACACATTTCTTCTCGTTACGCCCCATTACTCCAGGTTCAATCTCTATCTCTCTCTCTCTCTAGCTGCTTCGTGGGTTTTGTTCAATACTGGTCATTTGCTCGAACCATTTCTATAGTTTTGCATGTAGCTGTTGAATTATTTCCTGCTGTAGCTAATTATCTCGAACTGTTATATTCTGTATTCATCTGTATCGATCATGGATCATTTGTTCTTTGTTTGTTGAATTGAACCCCAAGATACAGATTTGTTAACTCTTGGCCCTTAATTCATATTTACAATTCTTGTCGTTGAGAATTGATTATTGATATTTTTAGGTGATGACCAATTATTATGGATTAATTTATGAATATTATTGGTTTTTGATCATCAGAACAGAACAAGTAGATTGCTTTGCTGGCGAACAGAGAGATTTTTTTCTGTTTTGTCTGTGTGAGTTTGAGAAGAGTCCATGAGCTTGCAAAGTGTATCAAAGCCAAGCAACGCCCTTGAGGGTATCCATGGTGTTCATGTCGTGTCTCATTCCCCCTTCTCCTACGACCAGACAACTCATCAAGTCGGTGACTTTCAGACCAACTGCAAATCTTCAGACATGGGATCAAATCAAAGACTTTTCATCGAGTACGATTACTTATCATCTTCCTCACTCCAAACGTTTCAGTTCCTTACTCGGCTTCTCTTTTACAGACGTGTTTGGCAACAAAGACCTCCATGCTTAAGGCCAATCCATTGCAGCATCCATCATGGTATGACGAATCCTTCCGTTTTGTTTTTGGACTTGATCTTTCCAGATTTGTTGAATCGATTCTATTGTTATACAATCGATAGGTGACCAGAGTATCTTAGAAACAGCTGCTAATGTGGCTACTTCACTTCCTTTCATCTTCCTCGGAATGCAGGCACCGAGGTAGAAAAGTTTCTTCTTTCACTTTGCCAAAATCATTTCAATTAGTTTGAGTTTCTTTGACAAGACAAAAGACGATGCAATGTAGGAAGAATCTGAACACGAGAGTGTACGCAAACTCCTTAATCGGAGTTGGGATCGCATCGACTCTGTATCATGCTTCTAGGGGAAAACTGAGGAAATACCTGAGATGGGTGGATTACACAATGATCGCCACAACAACAATAGTAAGAGTTACAATTCATCTAAACCCCATTTCCAAATTCTTCTCCAGCCAACTTAACCGATTAGATTCGGTTGTGTGTATTCGACAGTGTCTCTCAAGGGCTATAAGGAATGAGAACCCAAAGTTACTGATGGCTGCATCAGCTTTAGCTCTACCGTTTCAGCCTCTCATGGTCTCTGCTGTTCACACCGGAATGATGGAGGTACTAAAGCTCAAACACTTCACACTCCTACATAACATCAGCCTAGTCGATATAACATTTACTGTCTTACTCAGGTTGCGTTTGCTAAAAGAAGCTTAAAGGATCCAGATCTCAAAACAGCTCATAACGTACACAAGATGTCTTCGTTGCTAGGTGGTGCTCTGTTCATCGCTGATGATTTCTTCCCTGAGACACCTTTCCTTCACGCCGGTTGGCACCTCGCTGCAGCCATTGGGGTCGGAACATGCAATAAGCTTCTTGAGTAGATCAGATTTCCAAAACTGTTATGGAAAGAGTCTCTATTCTTGGATCAGAGGAACCAAACTGTTTCTCTGTTACTCCTAATCAGCCGACATAACTAAGAAGTATTGTAGTCACTAGTCAGTAGTATATATATGTAAGAAGTAGATGGTATTGCACGATCATGTAAGAGAATTATTGAATTAAGAAAAGCTTGTTGCCAACAGTGATATGAAGAACATTCAGAAAATCGATCCAAAAGTCGAAACCAAAAGACAATTGTAGAGAACAAAACAGAGAGCAATCATCAATTCAGAAACTTCCAGAAACAGAACACTCTTATCTCTCTCTCTCCCTCTCTCTCTCTCTCTCTCCCTCTCTCTCTCTCTCTCTCCCTCTGCAACACATCAATCATGGAGAGTAGCCATGATGTCTTCATCCCTATACAAAAGGAACCTGCAAAGAGAGGAAAGACTCAGTGAAATGAGCTGCGGCAAAACAAAACTCACTCTCTGAGGAATTACATCGAACAGGTTAAGAACATACTCTTTCTCTCCGAGCTTGACTTGAGTACCGCCGAATTCAGGCAAAAGGACGTTGTCTCCTTCCTTAACCGAAACCGGAATCAGGTTCCCAGCTCTGTCCCTCGCTCCAGGGCCAACTGCTATCACCCTCCCGGAATTCAACTGCGTTCGATCAAACCCAACAGATCAAATATCGTCCGATCGAAGAAACTGGTAAAAAAATTTAAGATTTCGCAATGATCGGATCAAAAGAGGCTCTTTAGTACCTGAGAAGATGACTCCGGTAGGAGAATGCCGGAGACTGTCTTCGACGGTTGAAGAATCTTCTCGACCAATACACGGTTGAGCGTTGGGATCAAGCGCTTCGCCATTTCTCTTCTTAGATCAGCTACGACGGAGATCGGATTACGAAACGTTGATCGGCTCGAGTAGTTCCGCAAGATTTTGCTGGTGAAATGAACTTGCTAGGGTCTAGGGTTTAAGCAGAAAGATAGTGTTCGGCATTTTTGGGTTACTTGGACTTTTATTCGGCCCAGGCCCATTAGAGGCCAATTCATTTTGCATTTTGTCTGCAATGTCAAAAATTTCATGAGTTTAATAATTTCTTCCACCTACAAAATTAGTTCGTATGCATAAATCAATTGAAGAAAAGAAATTAAAAAACTAGATAAAGTTTATGTTATTATTCATGGAAGAGTGGAAAAGAAGGATGAAAAAAGAGGGTAAAATTTATTTATCCTCTAGAATTCAATTTCATTTGTTTATTTTTCCAACTTTTTACCAATCTTAAGATCGTTGATTTATTTGATCAACAAACACTGAACACAAATATCAAAAAATCGAAATACCCAATCGATGTCTAAATCGAAGGAATAGTAAAAATGTAGAAAGGCACCATGCACGTACGTAAAGCATTTTAGACCATAACATAGGTTCGAGCGAACAATTTGAATATAACAGTTACTTTACATGTATGATGTCTAACAAATTCTGTTCAAATTAAATATATTGACAACGAAATGAAAATCAAAACCAAACCAAACCGCGTTAAACTTTTCCCAAACTGGATGGAATTACTTTAGGTTCCATTCTTAAATTTTCACAACCAAAATGCTTTAACAAATAATTGTATTGGAAGTCCTGACCAAACTATTCAAAAATTTAACAAAAAACAAAATAAAAGTGAAAACTGACACATGGAGGTCCCTAAAGTGGGCAAAGAGGATAACAAAGCAACACGCGATCAAAAGCTCAAAGTGTCTTTTAGGAGGTCCCAAAAGTATAATAAGTATGGGTTTTAGATCTCATGACAATGATGAAGAAATGGATAGGCACTATAGCATAAAGAAGATTCACCTTATCATCCAAAGACGAAGAAAAAAGAGGATCTTGACACTAACATCGTATCGAATCGCATCAACATGCTTTACTTGTGTTCCGGCCAAAGCTACACCATATATAAAAAAAGCAAAGAACATTACAAGCCTACCATCGTGCACCGACCTTTTTTCTTCTTTTGGAAACTAATTGGGAGAAGAAGATTCACGGATCATAATAAGACAAGGGTCCAAGTTTAAACCATTGGTGGGTTTGAAGTTCTTCAAAGAAATTTCTTGATGTGCCACGTTGTTATGATAATTTCTGAGATGACTAACACAAAACGACTTGTATGATATTTGATTAATAAAATTATAAATCGAAAGTTATATCAACCAAACGAGTGGCACACGATTTGCTATAGAATCTTTTTGTGTTTGATTTTCATAGTGCTACTTACTTTTATTTTTGTCAATTGCTCTCATGGTTGTTAATTCCTACGAAAAGTATAGTGCTTGGTTTAATCGCTTGAATGTTAAGTTTGAACTGTTGATTCACGTCAACTATTGTGCTTATCCATCTAAAATATATAGTGCAGTATGTAAAGTTATGCCTACTGATTGCTCCGATTTGTTACGTTGAGAAGGTGTCTTTTTGTGTTTTCTCGACTTGATTATAACCCTTATGCTACTCTGTTTGCATATGTTGTAATATTAGTATGGTTCTTGTGGAATACTCGGATGACAAAGCTTTTTTTGCTCTATGGTCCAAAGGATATCAAAGTATACTTTTATGTCAATAACATATATTCTAACCAATTTAAATTTGGATGGTAAGAAATGATACATCGACGACATTTTTTTTTTAAAATTAGTAGGGGTTTTTTGGATCGAAGCCCGTAATAATCTAAACTTGAAACCACATCATGTAATATTGGTTTCGTCCCAAGCGTTACTCATCGACGACTTCTAAACTTTGTTTAGAATCTTTTTATCAGTTGAACTAGCAACAGTTAGTCCTCGACGACCTTAATGCAAACTAATATAGTGCTTATGCAATGTAGTCAAGAGACGAACAAAAATTTTAAGTCTCAAATATATTTTTAAAAGGAAAAACACACACGCACACGCACAACAACAAAATTGTTAATTAGGACTTCACGGTCTTTAAAATCTTCTTACAAATAAATAAAAACTGTAGACGTTTAGAAAACTTGTACAACTCTCTTTATTCGTATTCACGTATTCATGAAGATAAGGACATGATACAAACAAAAAACCAAAATTGCATCACATCAGGGAAATGGAATAGAAAGAAACATGTCAAAGACAAATCCGTATAAGCTGTTTGATGTACAAGCAAGTTGGCTCAGAATAAGTGTTGAAAGAAGGTTGAATATAAATAAAATGCAAAGGACAGATCTTGTCACACTCTCAAGTCCAATTATTATTTTTACTTTTGGACGATTGGGTCAGCGGTCAGATTATATGGTTGCAACTTGCAAGGAGATGGACATTAACATCTTTTTTTTTCACTCCCAATTTTTTTTTTTTTTTTTGGGATAGTTTATTCATTTCTATTATTCAGGTTGGAGGATATCTCAAATGCCATTACAGTAACAAGCTGGTAGTGTCATTTGACATTTTCTACCTTTGTGCCACCTTCTCATTTTCCATATTTCTCGTTTTAATTCAACGTATACCTATCTTCTCATAGCCAATCAAATAGCATCAAAATCAATATCATAATCTTTTCCTCGAAAGTGACCAAAAAGTCAATGGAAATACAACAAAATAATGCTATACTGGGGTTTTTTTCCCCCTAAACCTAAAACTACAAAACAACTTCTCGGTTAATAATTTTGTGGGTTTCTGCAAATAATAAAAAAAATTCCTTTTTAATATGTATAATAAACCCAGAAAAAACATACAAAAATGTCCAATCCATCATATGACATCCTTCCCTTGATTTTCTTTCTTTCATTTTAAGAAAGACTGTGATTAGTTGTGAAAAAAATTTGGGTTAAGGTTTGGTTGTTAAGTTTACACTTATTTACTATCTGTAAACAAGTGGATATTAAAATATTAAATAATAAATACTAGTGCTACCATAGGTAATTCTATGGTTTTTAACTGATAAGTTAAGAATCCTTAATATTAACAAATGTAGAGCTATGAGTTTCAAAGTTTATAAATATGTAACTAATACATATAGCGGATATAGGCTTCAAAAATTCTATCATTTTGGATAAAATCTTCCATATATGTGAATAATTAGGTATGTTTCATGTTTGTCTTGATGATAGATGATAGATCATTGCTCATTGCTAGAAAGATATTAAATATATTTTTGTATAACAATAATGCAGTAGTTTTATTATTAAAAAAAAAAACAGTCAATCAAAGAGATATGACTATTCAAATACGATATTGGCATCGCCACAAATGGAAGTGAGACCCGTTTTAGTTCAGTATCTATCAAATATACTATTTTCATGATAAAATTTCCTCTCATGGAATCTTGATTATTACCCATCGCAACTTTCGTTAAAAAATACTTTGTTTTGCGTTAATGATTGTGTTGTTAGAGATCCGTCGAGCGTTATAAAGTTTCACAACAAGAACAAGATATGATCTCCTTAATTTATCATTGTATATAACTTAATGCACCAAATAGGGCTTCGTCCAGTGGTGTAGGCATGGTCGTTTCTTTGAAAACTGTGAGAAGTTCCTGGATTTTTGATTCGAATTATTCTTAAGAAGACGTACGGGGCATTTGGATCTGAAACTTTTTGGATAATAAAAGAAGAATCTAATAGGAACACTACAGATTATAAAAAAAAAAGTCGATGAGTTCTTCAGTGGAGGAATCCAAAGAGATTCATGTGTCATGTCTGGAGGAATATGGGTCGTTCAGTGCAATGTGTTTATTATTTTATAGCCAAAGAATATGACGATAAATCTTTATTGATTAATAAAAAAATAAAAAAACCTTGCAGCACATAACTAAAAGTAACTATGAATAGTTATTGAAAACAATAAATTTATAAGAAAAAGAAAAATTCATAACCTATAAATATTCTATATGTGCAGAAATGTAAACTAAAATTGTGGATAGATGGACCTACTAATAGAGAGTCACGCGAATACATTCCACAAGTGCGCAATGTGCATAGTGCTTTCACATTACCTTCCATTCCAAAAGAGTTGGGCATCAGATCCTTTTTCTATGAATAACTCCATTCACGTCCCGTTACTTATCCCTTTTGTTTCTTTCTTCTTCTACTGCTCTTTTTCATTATTCTAATTTGATTTGGCCTACCTATATCCATTAAAATATTCATTTACTTGTATTATTTGACTTCGTGTTCATCCCCTGTGACGTACCACACGTTTTCATAAATCATTCTAACTTTTGATACAAAATGACTATTATATGGTCTACAAAACTGTCCTAGACATCTTTATTACAAAAAAAAAAAAAAAAAACTATTCAAAACACACATTTATATTAACCATAAAACACAATTAAAAGTAAACATGGAGCATGGGTACATTTGATAAGACGACGAAGCTATTTTCTTTCGTTTATGAGATTTTACTTTTTAGAGATCATTTATATATATCACTTGAGCTAAAAGAAGATTGTAACGGAAGGTCTGCAAAAGGTGTATCTGGGAGCCATGGAGCCTGGTATATCTAAGGAGGCTAGGAGCTTGTCAACGACCATCTTAAGCTTCCTCCACTTCGGATATTTGTTCATCGCGCTTGGCATTTTCAGCGAGATAAAACAGCATTCTTTAAAAATAAAGTTTTTTCTTTTTGTTTCAGCCGTGACAAACGCGATTTGCAAATGCAAGTCATCCTCTAAAAGTATATACAATACTGAGTACTGAATCTACATCGATGCTCACTTTTTATTCCACCAATTCTTTAGATGGACCTAATAATAATTAGTGGGTCTAGAATCTTCCAGTTTGGATTATATATCAAAAAAAGTTTGGTAATTTTACTCAATTTGTATTGGAACCAAAATGTGAACAAATTGCGTTGATTAATTAGTTCATCTTACCATTTTGTGTGTGTGTGTTCCGACAGTAGAAAAACTGCGTTAAACAAGTATTTGTATATTTTTATTTAGCATTCGCCATGTTTTATT